GCTGACACGTGGATGTCTTTTGGTCCCGGTTGGTGCTACCAACCGGGACTAAAGACCCTCCTGCCCGGGCTCGCCGCAGCGGCCACGTGGAGCACCTTTTGTTCTGATTCGTAAGCGAACCGGGACTAAAAGTTTTGGGCTTTTGTCCCGACCCTTTAGTCCCGATTCCAGAACCAGGACTCATGGGCCTCTGGAACCGGGACAAATGAGCCGTTTTCCACTAGTGGTATTCATTTCAAACAAATAAAATATATAATTGTGTGTATTCATGTCAAACAGATAAAATATAGTGCCTATTCATGTCAAAATCATGGGATGCAACCGTATGGTCGTTAATTCCAACAATATGGAAGTAATTGACATAATGAAGAATGGAGGACATTCAACAGGAGCGACGACGGCGGTGTTTGATGATTGTTATTTTATGGCGTGCGATTTTCCACTTATTAGATTTGAACATTGTAATAGGGAAGTGGGTGATTCTTTTGTTTTTTTAAACAAAACATCCCCTTTATTTATTAGAAATAATGGTTACATCGTCAGTAAGGAGATTTACAATATCATTCATAGGCTCCTCAGACCAATCCCTAGTCTCAGAAAATTTCAAAATATAGTGCGTATTCATGTGAAACAAATAAAATATATAATTGTTAAGGTTACTCTGCATAAGCACTGAAGAAAACTTAACGATTGTCACTGTAAAACAATAAAATAAATAAGAAACGATACCTCTCTGGAAGAAAAGATTACATGTATGGATATGCAACTCTAAAATTTCTGAAAAGTCATTGCCAGATGTAGGTGCAGCAACGTTGTGAGCACCATACAAGCAGCTATCGTGAATGGTCCCAGAAAAACGAAATATTTAAATGCTATACTTCCAAAACTGAACATCAATCTCTAACAAGGCATAGTCAGCCGACGGAGACACACGGTGTCTCATGTTTGACCCTCAGCCAGCCATGTCTTTCTTTTTTCCGTTCGTATTTCTCTCTTCCTTGCTGACAGGTGGGACCCATTATCTGACAAGGTGAGAGCAACCAGAAGAAACCAAACAGTAAAAGTGTGCTTAAATGGAGGTATAAACTGAGAGTTTTCCTCCATCGTAAACCAAAAACTTAAGGGTAAAAAGTGGAATTAAATCTAGATTTTATCACATAGCAGACGTGCGTGGTTAATTAGCAATCTCTGGATTATTCAAAAAGTAGATTTAATTGAGTTAATAAAAAGTAGACTTAATTCCCACATATGTACTCTAGCTAGGCATGGCTTATTATATTTCCTTGGAAGGTGTAGCAATTCTTAAGGTCACTCTGCATATGCACTGAAGAAAACTTGACAACTGTCACTGTAAGCAAACAAATAAATAAATAAATAAAAACAATACCTCTCTGAAAGAAAAGATTGTATCTATGGATATGCTGCTACTCTAGAATTTCTGATAGCCATTGCCAGATTTAGGTGCAATGACGTTGACAACACCATACCAGTGGCTACTGTGAATGGTCCCAGAAAAACAAAATTATTGACCCGCAAAAAGAAAATTATTTAAGTGCTACTTCATTGTTAGTACACACGTGTTGCAGATTCCATCAAACTTGTATCAGCCTAGCTTCCTCCAAGCAAAGCCATGGCCTTCATACAGGCTATTCATATGAATCCAGGACAAGGCGAAACAAGCTATGCACGCAACTCCAGTTTTCAGGTGGCATCTTACCTTCTCTATCGATTAATTGGGTGATTCCGATGACATTTTCTTTGACATTTTGCTTCCAAAACTGAACTTGTTCATGATATATACAGCTTATATTACTTAGAATTCAAAGGAGAAGAGCACCCCTAGATAAGAAATCCATGCAAAAAAGAACAAGAAAAAGAAACCTAGATAAGAAATCAGGATGGATATGATTGGGTAAACTATTGGTTGTATGTGGCACGTGGATCTTTGGGTCTCAGGTGCCAATGCAACCAAATTGTTTTTTCTTTTCCGACAAAATTAGTCAAAAATTGCTGAAACTTCTTGGAAACAAGAAGGCTATAGTGTTATACTCGTGTGAAAAGTTTTGCGAACAAATGACTTCCATGGTATTCTAGGTGAATTATTTCTTGCCACTGTATAGAGATTACTATTCACACTTTTTTGAACTCGCGATTTGTTTTTTTATGTCCTAGAGTCCACCGAAGTCACTCCTTCATGGAACTTTTATACGAGTATAACACTAGATCAAGTTTGTTTCCAAAATGTTTCAGGATGTTTTGACATTTATTACAATTCCGAAATGATTATTTTCAAATCAGTTTCAATGGGACCGGAGACCCATTCGGTATTTCCGCTGTATGTCCTTTTGCAGCTCGTTGCATTTGTTATTGGATAGTAAACTCTTTCCCTCTCTGCATCATGAGTGAATTAAACAACATGAAAGGAGAAAAGAAATGTCTTCACGACAAAACAAATTTGTTTCTTGATAGTACTTGTGTGCTGATGAAAAGTCATTGGAAACTAGTACTATGGAGAATTTTGAAATTGCGGATAAAAGGAATATGCAATCTACTGAGCGAAGGAGCTAATTAGCACACCATTTAACAAAAATGTTAGACTAGGTTTTCTAAAGGACCACAGCCTGATTGCAGAATGCTGGGCAGAAGAGGATGAAGCCTCTAATAGAGGCGGCCATCACTGACTTATGCAGCAACACCAACACCTTGTTGCATGGAAAGATGATGATCATGGACGCGGGCTGCTCCTCTGGCCCAAATGCGCTAGCACTCATATCACCTGCCATCGACGCCATCCACAACCACTGCCTTCAGATAAACCAACCACCACCGGAAGTGTGTGTGCTACTAAACGACTTGCCTGACAACGACTTCAAGACGGTGGTGAAGAGCTTGGTCACGCTCCGTCAAAGCAAGAAGACTATTGTTGTGACTGGTGTCGCACCGGGGTCGTTTTACGAGCGACTGTTCACTAGTGACTCCTTGCATCTTGTCTGCTCGTCCAACAGCTTGCATTGGCTCTCAAAGGTGTGAGCTCGATAAATTGATCCAACTGAATTAATTGTGGGTATCGTAAGCAAAATCTTACCTTTACAGGCTCCTGAAGATCTAACAAGGAATCACATCCCAGCATTCGACATTGATGAACATGCTAGGCGTGAAAGGCTCCCTATGGTCCGCGAGGCCTATGCACAACAATTCAGGAAAGATTTCTCACTTTTCTTGGAGCTGAGAGCCAAGGAATTGGTCTCAGGAGGCCGAATGGTTATTTCCCTGGTAGGGACGTGTTCTAACGCAATTGCCTCCAAATTCATTCTTTTCCCAGGAATTGTAGCTCAGATCCTAAGTGTCCTGGTCACAGAGGTACATTTCTAGCATAACACCTTTTTCTCTTGCGATCCAGCGTGCCATTATCTCAACGCATGGTCTATGATATGATTGGCAGGGTGTGATCGACAAAGCAAAGTTTGATTCTTTCTATGTGCCGTTGTATGGACCTTCCAGCGAAGAGCTGAGGGAGATCATCGAGGCAGAAGGCTCCTTTTCGATCAGGGAGATGCGGGTGCACGACCCTAGAACAGACATGACCACCACCCTGAGCACCCCAGCCAGGTTTGTGAACAATCTAAGAGCCTTATTTGAGCCGATAATAGTCCAGCATTTCGGAAAGGTTATGGATGAATTTGCGATGGCCGCGGAGCTGTATTGGAGCCTAGATGCTAGCTTGCAAGAGGAGCGTGCCAGAACATCTCGAACTATGCTGGCTGTATCCCTCGCAAAGGCATGATGATGGGGCATAAGTGACTGAACATACATTTGGTGAGATCGTACTATTGCTTACTTTGAGGCAACACCATGTGCCCACTTAGTTGTGTGAACTATATATCATTGTGTGATGTATGGCCTACAAAAATCCGCCTGCCATTTGTGTTACATAGTGCAGCCGGAAGATCAAAGTAATTATGTCTCTAATGACCCTAAGTAAAAGTAGTTTTATTGTAAAAAGTTAATCATGCATTAGAGACAGTGAAAATTCAAAGAGATCATTATGTTTTGGAACAAAAGGGATTGCTAGTTTTTTTTTCTTAACGGATATTTTGTGTCTTTCTTCGTCAATTCTTAACCCTAGTTCCTTCGACACTATATTCATGAACATGGTAAAGGCACACAGAAATCTTTGGTTAACACAATGCTAGCTGTAGATTAATCACACAAAATTATGCAGTAAATAGGTTACCTATATATGCATGACTTTGATCAACATTCGCCCTTGCGCTTCTTCTTATAGTAGCTGGCAAGCCAGTAGAGTGGGAGTGATTTGGCTGTGTGATCCAGAAGAAACTTAGGCATGATCATCTACCTCTTCTTCAGTAACCCAGTTGATGGCTTAAAAATTACCCTCTGTTTGGGAAACCCAGTTACAGATGTGCGCAAGCTAGAGCCGGAGAATATTATGAATGTGCAGTTTATTGCATTGGCCATAATAAAATGCCCAGTAACAAATGATGTGTCATGGTGATGTCCCGCTTGAGATAATCTGCTTTCCACCAATGGTTACGGAGAAGAAAGGAGCATGGCTGACAGTTGGGAGTGTGAACATTTCAATATCTAGCCAGATGTGATGGATACAAGGAGAAGGATGAATTGAAACAGAGCGTTTCGCTGGGACTTCGTGATTTAACAAGCAGTGCTCCAAGCTCTTCCGAAAATCGGGTTCAACTTGCTAGGATAATGGGATCTGATTCCATCATCAGCTAGAACAAAAGGTAGAAACAAGGAACCAAAGTATACTGGCTACATATTTAGTATTAAGAAGATCGCCAGGTAATCTAAGAAAAAAGAACTTGATAAAGGGACAAGTCAATTCTTCAGTTCATTCAGCACAGAAGGATATTCAAACAAGTACTAGTAGACATTTCATGCAACCATGAAACAAGCTTCTTGATCATAACTTGTATACATCAAAAAGAAAATATAGCCGGATCATAGTGGACCCAGCCGGTCACAGCAAAGAGAAAACATTGCTGGCAGTCTAAAGGGGAACACAATCTGGACCTGAGCCTAACCATGGTAAATCTTTCTTCTGCTCGTCACTACAAGTTCCATTTCCCATCATATATTAAGGTCGACCATCACATGAAGCTTTGATTCATTAACATAGTTAGCAGTTAAAGTGAAATGATTTATTTAATTCCAAATGATGCAACTGGTGGTCAGAAGAAAACCACCTGTTGGCCAGTGAACTCCTAAAGAATATAAGACAACACTCCTCTGCAGATGGTGATTGTACTCATAGACTGGCATTTTACTTGGCGGATGGCCTCAAGGCATGCTTGGCTGGTATGGAGAGGCGAACAAGTACTGCATACTGGTTAGGGGGTTACAGCCTTTTTCTTGCATCTTGCCCTTTCAACATGGCGTCATACTACTTTGCCAACCAAATTATTCTTGATGTCTCACAAAGGCAACCAAGGGTGCACACCATCGATTTTGGCATTGGCTTCGGCATCCAGTGGCCATTAATGATTCAGAGGTTTGGATAGAAACTAGCCCATCCCCGTACCCTAATAATAAGGTAAAAACCCGTGGGGATGCGGGATTCAGGCCATGTGGCCGTCTTGATTGAAGACATGAGATTGGTGGACATACCATGCCTAGACACTGGATTTGCTGTAAAGTGGATCGTTGCGCCGAATATCTCTCAAAACTGGCCATATGGAAGATCAGAGGATTGCATTTCTGATTTTGAAGATGGCAATTGGACTTAATCCAAACAGGAATCCAATAGAATGCACTAGTGTTCACATACTCCCTCCATTTTTGTATACAAGGCCTCTTTGTTTTTCGTGTCAAACTTTGACTTATAATTTTGGTCAACAAAATATGAGTTATATGCCATAAAAAATATATCATCAAAAAGTTATTTCAAAAGTGCATCCAATGGCATACTTTTCTCGGCTAACTCATATTTGGTGGATAAAATTAATGGTCAAAGTTAGACATAAAAATATGAAGTGGTCTTGTGTACCGAAATGGAGGGAGAATTATTACGCTCTCCATATCACAACTAGGTGGGTGACGTCCCGCACATGTCTCCATATAATTTTGATCATTCCGATTGGAAATTTAAAAATCATATGCACAGATTCTTCTCAAAAAAGATGTGGACAACATTATGGGGTGATCTCCTAGTTCCCCGAGGGGACAGCCAAATCACTAGGGTCTAGGGTCACAGAGACACATGGAACAGGAGACGGGGGAGGGAGGGACCTTGGAGGCGGGCGCAGATGGTGGGGTGGAGGCCGAGGTCGGCGAAGGAGCGCGAGGAGAAGTGCCCCTCCTCGTTGTCTTCATCTCCATCCGGCGCACAGTAGCAGCGGGACGAGGCAGCGCCACGGCCCACACGGGCATGCTGGGCGGGGTCGTGGGGCTCCGGTACGGCCTCTCCAAGGTGACGGCGGTGGGCGGCGTGCATGGTGCGGCTGGTGGCGGACGATCAATTCGCTCGCTCGTGAAGTCAGGGCGTGTAGACGACAGCGATCATTCTGTTGCACACGGCGTCACGAACGCGCATCGGCCAGAGCGTAATCCTGCTGCACATGGCGTGCCAGTGCCACCATGCAGGAAGCCAGGAGAATCCGCTGTAGATATGCTGCTTGGCTGGTGCGTCGCGTACGCGTAGCTGGCTCGTGGACGGTGTTGGTGTACGCGGATTGGTGAGCCAGCAGGACGTGCAAGCAGCCATCAACATTTGTGCATTGGTGTATACCTGTACACATAGCAGCATGGTGCCACAGTGCCATGCATGAAGCTGTGTGGTGCAACGGAGCTGGATGGAGGAGCCCCGATCAAATCAGGCGACAACGACTGGTGGACGACGGGCGTTTTCCTCGGGTGCCGCGTGCCCGTTGCTGAGCAGCTGAGACGATGCCGAGCTGTGCTGCTCCCTGGCGAGTTGCGAGTTTGCGACCAACATGGGGGAGAGCATGACGGAGTTTCTTTTGGCTTAAGCGAAGCAGCACGCCGGCGCACAGGGCGTGGGCCAGCAGCCGTCCACTGCGTAGTGCACCTGCACGAGCAACGTTGGTCTTGGTCGGCACAGGCAATGTATGCTAGGTGTTTATGTGAGAAGGAAGAAGGAAGGAGAGAGATATGCGGCCACGTGGACGAACACGCGGTCAAAACCACCCGAGTCAGCAACGATACCGGGTCAGCCGAGACTAGGGACTAAACTTGTCTGGTTTCAATAGCTGAGGATGCAAGTTGTCCGGTTTTGTAGTTGAGGGACTAAATTTAGACTTTGTCAAAAGTTAAGGGACGAAAAATATACTAGGAAAGAAAATCATCCCGAATGAGGGTTGAAATCCAATGGTACATATTCAATCAAGCAAAATTAAATTCTGATTTAGATGAAGCAAACAAAAATCCATAATAGGAAAGAAGAAAGAGAGATGCAAGGCTATGTATTGAATCAAGCAAAATGAAATTTACATATGAATCAAAAATCCAGAATAGAGAAAGAACCAAATTGAAGGCTATGTATTGAACCAAGCAAAATTAATCTATATATACTAGGGAAGAAGTAGGAGCTGTATCTTGCTGTCGATCTTGGGATTAGAAAGAGTTTGCGCGTATGCAAATTTGGAGACGTACGCATGCAGACTCACAGGAAATAAATAGTTTTCCTCGCTTGTTCGTTCGACCACGTCGGTCACGTTAGGAAGCGTTCTGTTTTATCCCTAAAATTAGAACGACTGTCAGATATGACAGTTGTTTCTTACATGTCTGGAGCGTAGCCAGGCCTAGGATTAATCGAGAGGGTGACTGTTGCAAACTGGAGCATCCTCTGTCACAATCACCATGGCTATTGTTGGGAACAAAAGACTTACGTAGTTTACATCAATACCACAGTCCACAGAGGCACAGACACCCCTCCTCTCCCTCCTTCTCAAAGATTCTGATCTGATCGTGCTGCTACTTAATATAACAACCAAGGTGTATGCTTCCCTGCTCAGATCAGATGAGGAGCCACCTGCACATAAAAAGGAACAATGCTATTAGGCGTGTTGTAATTTCAAGATCACCTTAACAAGTAACAGAGGTGAGTCCTTTTTCTGTTATCGATGCTAAACATTTGAGGTTTAACCGGGTAAAATAGTAATGCTCGTTTCTGCAAGCCCCCTTTGGAAATTCTATTTTCATCAGTATGGCACATGCCAAAACAATCATAAGTTGAAGATGAGGCACAAAAAAAAAGTGCTCGCTGAGTAGAATTCCGTTTTGTCATTCCAAACTGTAGTTCATGAGCAATGTGAACCAAAATTTATCTCACATAAATAAGCTTCAATTTCCCCTCTTTTTTTGCAGGCAACAAGCTGATTCATTTGCGGTGCTAGAAAGAAGAATCAAATGCGTCTTGTTCAGTTTTGCCAGGATTTGAAGTGGAAATAGGAACAAGAGATTTTCCAGAATGTCGGTTGAATCTTACCTTGACGATCTGGACACCGCCGCAGCAACCTACCAACCATACGACAGAGCTTCCTCTTTCCAGCAGCAACTCACCGTGGACAGCTACGACCTGAGTGGTCCACTATTCTTGGCCGAGCCAACAACCACTGGAGCAAGCACATATCTGCATGCTGCAGTCACCAGCCCTGGGTTGTGCAAGGTGAAGAGCAGCCTACAGACTGCTGCAGGGGGTAGCCCTGAGCACCGCCAGAGTAGATCAAATGATGCTCTTCACTATATAAGCCAGATGCTGATGCAAGACGTCGACGAGAGGGTCGAAATATGCCAAGGGGAGGCTGCTCTCCAGGCTGCTGAGAAACCATTCCGTGACCTTCTTGGGCAGGTACACCCGTTGGCTACTAACCTTCCGCTGTTGAATAACAACAACGAACCAGACAGTCCTCCTGATAAGGGTAGGACCAGCCGTTACAAGAGGCTCTGGAGCACTAGCTTCAGTAATGACTGTTCCAGTTACAGCATGTTACCGCCCTTAACAACCTCGTTGAGTCCATATATCTGCAATAGGAGTCTTTCTCTACAAAGCCGTCCGTTCACAAGTGTTGGATCAACTTCTAGATCTGGTTTCCCCGGCTTGCATTGTCAGAGAGAAGTCGAGGAGGCAACGATGTTTTCTCCAAGTATCGATAAGCTGGTGATATATTTAGAGAATGGCATACTTTCTATTTCCAAACCGACTACAAAGGCAAAAGTAGGAGAGAGGAGCGAAAACACAATTTTTGAGGTGGCACACCAAAGTGACTGGGATATCTTGGAAGGAAGGAGCAATAAGCATCTTGCCTTCACCAGTTGTGCAATAATTCGAAATGAAAATTTTGACCAAGTTCTGCTATGCTATGGTCTGGAGAGTTTCAAAAAAACAACAAGACTGCGAAGAGGGTTGGCAGAGGAAGGAAACAAGAACTCACTGAAAGGCCGGAGCGAAGGACGTCAGAAGCTATGGCAGAGGAAGCAACCTAGGACAGAGTTGGTTGATCTCAAGACTCTCCTCATCAATTGTTCACAAGCTGTGGCAGAAGACAACCATCTGTTGGCCAGTAAACTCCTAAAGAAGATAAGACAACATTCCTCAGCAGATGGTGATTGTTCTCAGAGACTGGCATTTTACTTGGCGGATGGCCTCGAGGCACGCTTGGCTGGGACCGGGGGTCAGGTTTATCGCAACCTAATGGAGAGGCGAACAAGTACAACTGATTGGTTAGATGCTCACAGCCTTTTTGTTGCATCCTGCCCTTTTGACAGGACGTCGTACTACTTTGCCAGCCAAGCTATTCTTGATGTCTCACAAGGGAAACCAAGGGTGCACATCGTTGACTTTGGCATCGGCTTCGGCTTTCAGTGGCCATTAATGATTCAGAAGTTTGCACAGCAAGAAGAGGGAGCCCCTAAGCTTCGGATCACAGGTATAGATGTTCCCCAGCCAGGTTTCCGCCCCTGCGAAATGATCGAGGAGACAGGGAAGCGGTTGGCTGATTATGCAAACCTTTTCAAGGTACCTTTTCAGTATCAGGGCATTGCCGCTTCAAGATGGGAGACCATTAAAATTGAGGATCTTAACATTGACGAGGATGAAGTTCTGATAATCAACTGCATGTTCCGGATGAAGAATCTCGGTCATGAAACCGAAGCCATTAATAGTGCAAGGGACAAGGTGCTCAAAATTATGAGGATGATGAACCCAAAGATTTTCATTTCAGGCACTGTGAATGGGTTACGCAGTTCTCCCTTCTTCATAAAACGTTTCAAAGAGGTTATATTCCATTACTCTTCAATGTTTGACATGCTTGATGCAAATGTTGTTCCACGGGATAATAAAGCAAGAAAGATGATTGAGAGGATGATATTTGGTAAGGATGCACTTAACATCATAGCATGTGAGGGTGCAGAAAGAACAGAGAGACCAGAAAGTTACCGACAGTGGCACGCAAGGTGCCTCAAGGCCGGGTTCCAGCAGCTTCCTGTCGATCCAGCCGTCTTAAGGATAATAGTATACATGAAGAACACATTTTGGCATGAGGAATTCTTTGCTGTTGAAGATCGTGGTTGGCTGGTACAAGGATGGAAAGGGAGAGTAATTTATGCAATATCTAAATGGAAACCTGATGAAACATACGATGGTCAGTAAGATTCAAGTTTTTCAAGTGAATCTGGTGTTCTTTTACATGAATATTTTTTTTGAGCTGGTTCTTTTACATGAATATTAACTATGTGTACCTGGTCATTGTTTTATATAGTGAACAAAAAGGCGTCTGTGAAGTACTTTGCTTGTATAGTTCTCTTTTATTTCTGATGATAAACTGTATTGGGCCTTCAAGACATGAGATTAGTGGAAATCCCATACCCAGACACAATCTTCGAATTTTCGATAGGCGCCCTGTTTTACTGGGGGAGAAAGCTCGAAGAGCTTCCCCGAAGTCTTCGGAGTATCTTTTTGATAGGCGCCCTGTTTTGCTGTAAAGTAGTAGATCATTGCTCTGAATATCTCTCAAAGCTGGTGATATGGAAGATGAGAGGATTATAATTTCTGATTTGAAGATGGCAACTGTAATTAACATAACAGGGATCCAATAGAATGCACTAATATTCACATATCACAAAAAAGTGGAGTTTGAACATGTCTTCTACTATAAAACTTCTACTTCGATCCATGGCTTTTGATCATTCAGATTGGAAATTTGAAAATCATATGTATAGATTTTTCTCAAAACATACATGGACGAGATTAGGGATGAGCTCCAAATCAGCAGGGCCACAGAGACACGGGGAATCAGAGAGGGTGAGGGCGGAAGGACCTTAGTTGGAGGCCGAGGTCGGCGAAGGAACATGAATCCGCGTCGTCTTCCTTCGCATTCGCCGCCGCCGCCGGCGACCTGCCGGGCTTCCTCTTGGCGGACATGGAGATGTCACGGAGGAGAGGAGGGAGAACCCAAGCGCGAATTCCGCCTTCGTACAGCGTTTACGCACTCGCGGAAGTGCCGAGTCATGTTTTAACTGGGCCTGGGCCCTAAGTTGTGTCAGGTTAGGCCCACCTTATCAGGCCTCCCCTCGCAGAAAACAAAAAAATTACCCACTTCCGTCCCTTGTTTAAAAAAAACCCCACTTCCGTCCTTTGTTTAAAAAAAAACCCCACTTCCGTCCTTTGTTAAAAATAAAAACCCCACTTCCGCCCTACGCTCCCTACTATCTCCATTTTAAAAACCTCCCTCAGAAAAAAAGGAAGCTCTCAACAAAAATCTACAATATCAAATATAAAGTGCGTATTCATGTCGACTAAATAAAATATATAGAGCGTATTGATTTTTTAAAGTCAAAAGATATAAATTTGACCAAAATTTAGGAAAAATTATAAATATGTTGAATACTAAATCAACAACACTAGATTCATCACGAAATATATTTTGATATTGTGTATATTTGGTATTAAAGATATAGATAATTTTTTCTGTAGACTTGGTCAAAACTGTGACACTTAGCTACCGTAGAAACCAATGCGCGCTTTATTATGGGATGGAGGGAGTATGAACGAAGATGTCCCTGTCGTTATGTGTCCCTTAAATGGGTTAGATTTTTATGAGACAGGTGCATTAAATCTTGTGCCTCGGCCCAATAAGATTCTGAAATTTCAAAGACCCATTCGAATTGCATGACAAATGTGTAAGTTTAGTACTCCCTACATCCAAATGTATAAGGCCTAGTTGTTCAGGGCTGTTTTTGACTATTGGTAAACTTAATAATATATGAGATGTATGTATGTTGTAAAAATTATATCATTATAAACTCTTTTAACATACAAATTTTATGGTATAATTATTTGTAACATACACATCATATATTATTGCTCTACCAGGTAGTCAAAGACAACAACCTCAAAAACCATACTGCTAGTTGATAAAGAGTAGCACCGATATAAAACTTCGGTTGTTCAACCACTCCTTGTAGGGAGAGAAGAGAGTAACAACGCACATGTTCACTCACTCACTTCATGCAAAAGCGAGTGGGTCACGTCATGTGAATTGAGTTCGAGCTTGAGCTGCATTATATGCCGTGTTCGAAGAACACAATTTTTGTATGGCAGTGCACGGCTTAGCTCTGGGTGTACATGTCGATATTCGAGCTAGTTGTGGAGACACTTTTTACTTTCAAAGAGCTCTTCCGCCATGTGTTAGTTGCATCGCTTCACTCTCCTAGGCATCATCTCTGTGCAGAGGAAATGCAAAGGAGACACACTATACAAAAATACACACAGCGATAGACATCACCTGGTGCACACTTGTACCTGCTTCTCTGGCGACCACATGCACAATAATCCAGGAGAGCAGGCCTATTCAAAACCGAGTCCCTTGAGAACATGCACCGGGTGAGGGGCAATAAGGTTTTTGAGACCGTCTCGGCGCGACTGCTCGTTCAAGTTTGACTACATCCACGGCGATATTTCGTCTGCTTCCTTGCGAGTTGGCAACCACCTCATCTTCACCACTTTGGCTAATGATGTCATTGCACTAAAGTTTCCGGCGAACTCATATATTCTGAATCTTTCTTCTTTGACATGTGCCTCTGGCCCATATGAATGTTCCTAGCCTGTCGTATGCGATTTGCCATGTTAGTAATCTTTTGATAATGCTAATCTAGATTGAGCTTAACCAAAAACTGCCTAATATCTTAACAAAGTGAAATATCCTTTTGTGTGTGCGTGTGCGCGCGAATGCTCCCTAAATGGAATCAGATAAACAAGATGTGAGTTTCGTATATTAGGTGAACAACTTACAATTGTTGGTGACAAACATCAATACAAGGTCGCATTGGCATGGCCTAGGCAAAAACCAAGCACAAACTTGGTACAACAAACTACCCTCCAAAAGTTCAACCATTATACATATCAACAACCAAATGAAAAGAAAATTTACAAGTTAGTTGAATAATGCCTTCTCTTTTTTAAAATTACATCGGAACTTTTTAAAAGATTTTATTTTAGTTTCTTCTTCTAGTTTTTTTTACCTGTTCTTCTAGTACTCCTTCGATCCATATTACTTGTCACTGTTTTGGTACAACTTTAAACTAAAGTTGTACTAAAGCAGCGACAAGTCATTTGGATGTGCATTTTCATGATCTGATAACTAACACTGTTGTCGATGTTGTAAATAAAATTAAAAGGCAGTTACACTAATTAAACATTTGGTACAAAAAATTCAGATATGGCAGAACATAAATCAAATCTCATCAGACTAGCTAGGCACCAACAATTCAATTTTGAACTAAGATAATCACGAAAAAAATCTTATTATTTTAATGAGATAAAGTACAACAAATTATCCTCAAAAAAGATTCAACCAATACCATTATATATATCAATTATCAAGTGGAAAAAAAAGAAACAAAAATCTTTGAATAATGCATCTCCTTTTTTTTTATTACCTTGGATTGTTTAACAATTTAATTAGGAACCTTAATAATGATTGAAAACCCATGCCAGCGCTCCTAATAAACCCTTTTTATAGGTCTGATGCGCGGCCGGGCCTAGGACTAATCGACAGGGTAATTGCTTGTAATCTGGACCATTCTCTGTCACAATCTTATGACGTTGGGAACAAAGCTATAAGGTAGAGGAACGACAAATTTACTTCACATCAACACCACAACCTCGCTACTCATCTTTCATAGTCCCCACCCTCACTACTCCTCTCTCAAAGCATTGGATCTGCTGCTGCTGCTTAATAACCAAGGTGTGTGCTTCCCTACTTTGCCTCTTTGCTCAAATCAGATGAGGAGCCTCCTGCAAATAAAAAGGATCAGTGGTATTAGGCGCATCATAGATTCTACGTTTAACCGGCTCATTCTCGTGTCTGCAAGCCTTTGGAATTTGTTTTCGATCAGAAAGGCATGCCAAAACAATAATAAGCTGAATCTCTAATAAAAAGGAAGAAGCAGAACTCTGTTTTACGGGCATTCTAGATGGTAGCACATGAGCAAGGTGAACCAAAATTCATCTCACATAATTTAGCTTCTATTTCCCTTTTTTCTTCTTCCAGGAAACAAGCCGGTTCATTTGCTGTTGGACAACAATAACCATATATCTCATATTGACGTGGAAATCAGACTTTCCAGAATGGCGATTGAACCTCTCCGTGACAATCTGGATGGCATCGCAGTAACCGACCAACCATACGATGGTGATTCCTCTTCCCAGCAGCAACTCACCGTGTACAACTACGACCTGAGTGGTCCACACTCAACAGTTCTCTCCCCAGCCAACCAAGTAAGTGTCAACAGCAGCCATGGACAAAACAAATTTCAGATTGCTGCAGGGGGTAGCCCTGAGCGCCACCGAATCAGATCAAACGATGCTCTTCACTACATAAGCCAGATGCTGATGGAAGACGTTGACGAGGGGGTCGGCATATGCCAAGGGGCTGCTCTTCAGGCTGCTGAGAAGCCATTCCGTGACATTCTTGGGGAGGGATACGCGCCGCCTACTAACTGGCCGCCATTGCATAGCAAAAACATACCAGACAACCCTGATAAGAGTGGGACCAATCGTTACAAGAGGCTCTGGAACACTAGCTTCAGTAATGACTATTCCAGTTACAACGTGTTACAGCCTTTAGCAACCCCGTTGAGTCCATATATCTGCAATAGGAGTCCTTTTATACCAAACCAGTCATCGATAAGTGTCGGATTGACTTCCGGATCTGGCCTCCCAGCCTTGCATGGCCAGAGAGGTGTCGGGGAGGAAAGAATGTTTGCTCCAAGTATTGATAAGCTGGTGATATATTCAAAGAATAACATACTTTATATTTCCCAACTGACTACGAAGGCAAAAGTAAGAGAGAGGACCGAAAACACAATTTTTGAGGTGGCAGACCCTAGGGGTTGGGCTATCTTTCAAGGAAGGAACAATGAACATCATGCCATCACCACTTGTGCAATAATTCGAAATGAAAGTTTTGACCAAGTTGTGCTATGCTATGGTCATTCTGACCGAATAACAAGACTGCAAGAAAGGATGGCGGGGGAAGGAAACAAGACCTCACTGAAAGGCCAGAGCAGAAGTAGGAAGCAACCGAGGAAAGAGTTGGTTGATCTCAGGACTCTCCTCATCCACTGCGCACAAGCTGTGGCAGAAGACAG